GTAGTTTCTACAAGTCGCGAATATTTAGGAATTGATTATACAAAAGTTCCAGTCATTTTACATAAAGCATTACTTGAAGTAATAGATAAAGTTGAAAAGTTGGAAAAGGAAATTGAAAAAATGAAATCTAAATAATTGATAATACGAGTAGATATTAACAATTATTTATTGTTTATAAACTCATTATGTTTTAAAGAAGAAAAGTGCCGGTTCAAATGCTTCTTACTTACAACTGCTCCACATTCACATATGGTTTTTTCTTTCATTTTTTCTAATATAACATCTCTATTTGTGTAATGGAAATCTCTTGATTTTTGCTTAACATATTCTTTCTCTAATTGGTATTTTTGCTTTTTTGCTTCACTAACTCTCTCCTTATTTGTATTATACCAATTGTGTTTATATTCTTTGACGCTTGGTTCAATCATTGGCATTGTTCTATTCAAAGAAGGTTTCAATTCTTCAATTAACTCTCTTTCTCTTTGTCTCGCTTCAAGAACATTCTTACAACATACTGACTCAATTAATACCATATCAAAATTGTCATATCCTCCATTGTCTTTTATAAACGAATATAAATAGATGTTTTGTTTTTTACTGTTTAAATTTTGACAGTCATATTTGTGCTGTTGCTTTCTATGCTTAAAGCTGGTAGTGTGTCCTATATAAAAATCTTTAACTTCTAAATCTCTACAAACAATTTTATAAATACAAGTATTAGAATAATCAATTTCTTTTTTGGGCATCAGGTATTATAGAGTATTATAAATACCCCTTTAAACTATTTTATAATAATCTAAATAATAATATATAATGGGTATTGGTCAAAGCAAAAACGAAGAAAATAACAGTATGGAAGACATTAAGAATTTAAGAGTAGATGAAAAAACGAGAGCGGATACTTTAATAATAAAATCTATTCAAGAATGTGTAACGAGAATAGAAAAGTTAGAAAATCAAAAATCGGACAAACTATTATATAAATTACCTGCGTTGAATTTATGCAACGCTTCATTGATTTAAATTAATAATATTAATATGATTCATTAACATTATTAATTAAAAAAATATGAATAACATTTACTAATAAAACTTTGTCTTTCTTAATTGATGACTTTAATAGTTATTTTTTTCACTTGTAATGAAATAAAATTAGCCACATTGTCCCTATACACTAAATTAGTTTTATAAAGGTCTTTATTAAGAAAATAATAAATATCAAATAAATTATTTGATGTTAAAGTACGATTACGAAGATGATTAAAAAAAGTAAATGAGGTAGATGTAACAAATATATCATATTCAATTAATAATTTTAATGGTTTATTTTTTTGATGTAATTTATCTAACTCACTTAAGTTAAAAATATATGATATGCCGTTTTTGATAATATTTTTCATAATGATATTATCAATTTCAAAATACTGTGAATTATTTAATTTGTAAGACTTATACACTGGTTTAAATTTACTAATATAATTTTTAATAATATTATTATTTTTTATTTTTAATAATCTAACATCACCTAAATTATAAGATAATACAAGGTTTTTAATTTCTATTGGTAAATCATAAAATATCATATAATATTAATATATTTATTTATTTAATTAGTAATTTTCAAATAATGAGAAAACTTTTTCATAAACATGCGGTTAGGGTCTTTTTGGAGAAGGTTAATATATAAAAAGCTATGTGGTTCGTCAGTGGCGGTCTCATATATTTTATAAATTAGTTTCTTGCTTTCGTGTAAATTATCGCTTCTAACAATTGCCGATAATTCATCTTGCAATATTTCTATCTCTTTGAAGTTTCTAACTTTATAATAAAACAAATGACTTATATTTACTCTAATAATTGGTGGGACACTTGATGCTTTCTGAAGACTGACAAGTGTTGATATTCCACTATGACGACCTCTACAAAATAAAGAATTTAATAATTTGTTATTTCTTGTTATTGCTGGATTATCAGATACATCATCCAATATAACTAATATATTAAATAACGTCTTCATTCCTTGTTTTTTCTGATATTCAATGATTTTATTTTGAGTTTCTATAACTCTTTCTAAATCTTCAACATTGAACTCATCCCACCAACACGGTTCTTTATCAGTATCTACTTTCAAACCTTCCTTAATGTATTTCTTCACTGGTAACCAAATACTATCCAATTTTACAGATGGGGACCAGATAAAAACTCTTTCAAATGCTCCTCTATAAATATCAAGTATCATTGATACAAGTAGGGTGCTCTTTCCAGAACCAGACGGGCCTACAATCATAGCTCTCATCGGCAATTTAGGGACGACCTCGTGCTTACTTTGCTTAAAGTCATATTTGATTTCATCAATTGGTTTTACATCAGGCATAATAAAAATAATATTAAAGACATTTAGAAAATAATTTAATATTTATTATTTTATATGAATAGAAGTTATTCAGATTATATTGATATAATAGATGAAGTAGAGAATATAGAACAAGTTGTTATAACTAATAATAGATGTAAAAAAATATGTTATTTTATTTTAGAATTAATTAAGTTTTTGATGCAATATATCAAAAATAAAAATGTGAATATTAATATAAATGCCTCCAAAGAAGAAGCAAGAGAAACAAAAAGAGATTGAATGTGTCAAATGCGATAAATGCGGTCAAGCAATTAAACCGCTAAATGAATTAGAGTTAGATAAAGAACATGTCAAAGTTAAATGTTGGCCGTGTTCATGTGGTCGAAACATGCATACAGTACATACAGTAAAAAAGAAAGATGCTGACGGTAGCACAGTTGAAGAAAGTTGGGTAGAAAACTTCAAAAGTGGATTTGGTAGGTTATTTACACCTGAGAAAGAATGATGAAAAAATAATAGTTAAAATTATTTCTATTATTATTTATAATGCAAGATGTTATAAATAATATTATTAAATTCATTGATGTAAAAGAATTGAAATTAAATAATTTTATTGAAGAATATAACGAAAATGATATATTAATTAATTTTGTTAATGACTTTAGAAATAGCAAAATTGATTTTAACATGTTTTATAATTCTATTAATTATGCTGATTTATTTGAACAATCAGATTCAAAATTTTATTGTAAAAGAATATATTCATATACTTTAAGATTTATTGCTAATTATGATAATAAAAATGCTATTCAGTTTTATGAAATTACATTGAGAAAAATGAATAATATTTACAAAAATAGTAACATTAATGTTGTTAATGTGTTTGAATGTATTAAATGTTTAATAATTTATATTACAGATAATATTGAAAAGTTTCATAAATATTCAAAATTTAGAAAAACTATTATTTGTAATTTAATTGGTAAATTGAATAATAATTTAACGAGTTACACAATAACTAATTTTGAATTGACTTATAATGATATATGATTTTGTAAAAATAAAAGTTTAGTTTTAAAAGTTTTATTTTATAATATAGTATATATATTTACATGGATGAAGGATTAGAAAAGATTGTTAAAAAACTGAACAAGGTTTTAGAACAGAATAAGAATATTTTAGAAATCTTACAAGAAATGGAAAAGAAGAAACCTTTAACAAACAGTTATCAAAGTAAGGAAGTAGATCGAACCAATGGTGAATATAAAAATAAAAGAAATATTTATTTAAACAAACTTAATAACAAAGAAATTAAAGAACCGAAGGCTTCAACTATGACATTTTATCAAATTGACTATGATGAAGATACAGGGATTTATTCTTGATTGAAAACATTTTTCTCTGTTTCCCTGAAAATGTATTTAAAGAAATATTACCTTAATATATTAAGTAAAGTATGTGCGACATTAATAATCTACCATTGGAAATTAGATTGAATATTATGTCATATCACTGTTATGATATATGTCCTTACAGGTATAATGATATTCTTAAAAACCATTTTCCAACTTGGGAAAGAGTAAAAAGAAACCCATTCTGGGCAATGACTTTAACTGAAGCATTGGATGATACCAAATCTGATTATGAAATATATTTAGAATTGAAAGCGTTCTAATTATTCCTACATATATGATATTGAAAATAAATTTAAACAGCTCTGGTTCATTGATAGTATTGATGACAAAAGAAAACACTTGAGAATTGGTTATTACGACGCAATGAGAGCACTGTTGGAAATGATGCCATTCAGAACAGAGGCAGAATGGCATATCCGATTTTATCATATATTAAGCACGGAAGACTTCTATGACGAGGATGAAGAATTTAGCGATAATGAAAGCGCGGCTAGCTATTATTGAGATGGATGTTTCAGTTCTTGATTATACTATAGTTACAACATATAAGATCTTATATGTTGTAATTTTCGTTTAATTTTCCCGTATAAGCCGTGGGGGTGCTTTCCTACATAGGCCTTTCCCATCCGCATTTTGCCATCGATATTTTACTGGGATTGTTTGCAAGATTTGGGTTAACGGTTTTAATTCTCCCTTTTCCATTGGTTAACCTTTTTTCGGGGCGAACATAGCGTTCTTTTTTAGACTGTTCGTATTTGTTGGAAATGGGAAAGGGTCTCAGGTTGGATCAAGGGAGAAATTATTGAGATCTTGGGGTTGCGATCTTGGGAATGGAAAAATGTTGGTATGTAGCTTGGGTTTTTTTGGTGGGATTTGTTGAGGTGGTATGTAGTTATGATTGTTGTTATTGAATGAGTGTAAGGGTGATGTTGAGATGGGGTAAGAAATGAAGATGGGTATATGAATATGTGTTTTTTGGAGTTGGATTGGTTGGGTGATTGAATTTGAATGTTGAAAATGGGCTGTTTTAGTGGGCGTATTCGAATTGTGCCCAAAAGTGTAGGGGGGACCCTATGACCGGATGGCAAAATGCGGACGGGAGAGGCCACCACTAACTAAGGCACGGGTCGCAAGCTCGTTAGGGCAAGCCGGCTTACCCTCAGCTGGCTGGGCCTAGGGCATGGCATTGGTAACAAATCCAAGCCCGGGGCTTTCCATTGCCCAAGCGCCTGATTGTCATACAGGAGGACCCTGGGCGGCAATGCCAAGCGCTTTCTGAACAGGGCCGAAAGTGCAGAGTTGGAACAAGTCAGGAAGCAAACTTTATACTGTTTGAATGATGTTCCACTTGATCACGGCCACACGCCTTCCTGGCCATTATGTTCGTCCTCCCTGCGAATTGTGGTACTTACACATTGTGAACGTGATAGATGGTGCGTGGGGCGGGCAAAATAGCATGAGGCAAGGCAGGGCAGGCAACAAAGGTTACCTCATAGCCCAATGTATGTCAAGCAAGAATTCGTTTCGTGCTTCTTTGGCTGTTGTCGGACCTCGCTCCAATGCTTGGCAAAACCGTTGGCCCCCTAACCTATCCCTCCAAGCGGCCCCAGCGCGCCAGCCGCTTGGGCCATCTGGGCCTTCAGCAAGAAGTAGCACCCGCCCCGCCGCACCAGCGCCACGCCGCCGACCTGTGAGCTGGAGCCAGCACCCCCAAGGCCCGTGTCAGTGGGGGTCGCTCCATCTGTCCCAAGCTGCGTGCGAATTGCGGATTCGCCGCAAATTGCAAAAGTGCCGTTTGCCGTTTACGCCCCTTGTGCTGAATCGCACTGCTTACAAACATGGCACTCTTTGTGACAAACAGTTGCCTCTGCAGATTCGCGGAGACCAACCAGATACACTCGCTCTTCTGATTTAACATCTATACTCTATACAGTGGGATCTCACTTGACCACGTTCCCATTGAATGCATCTGCTGTCGCGCCTCGGAAGTGTAAGGGGCGCAGCCAAAACCTGAGATGAGTCTCGGAATGGGGCGGGACAGCCATCCAAAATACCATCAGAATCGGAATTGTTCGACATATTCAAGTTTCGTGAATTCGCCACCTTCCTGCGCAGGGCGTAAGTTCTCAGCCGTTTGCCAAGCCGCTGTTATTGGCTTCGGGGAGCACTAGCTCGGCCTCGACCTCTCCGGGCGGAAGGAGGGGCTCCTGCCGCTGCCAGGCAGGGAATCTCCACACAAGGGCCCCGAAACATCAGAGAACAGCAAGCGTCTGGGTGCTGTCTCACCCACCAAGCTTCTGGTGGGGTCAAGCACATGCATTTGTCCGGCAGGTCGAAAGAGCACGGACAGCAAAACAAAACACATTTGTTCTGAGGCGCTCCACAGCACTACTATTCTTAGGCCTTTGCAAGAACAATATGTCTTTGCGTTAATCCGCACTTACCACCAAACACTGTAAGCGCAACAAACAAAGTTTGGCCTCCCAAAAATGCAATGCAAACCTCACAACGCTGGTCAGTCCCACTCGGCGTGCACCACCGAGTCGAAGGCCCGCAGCTGGGTTGCAGAAATCACCTGGTGCTCTCACTTCCTAGGCTCTACAGGGCAACAGCTTGACCCTCGCCTTACCAGAAACATCAAAGCCAGCCCGGGGCCCTTCGTTGGCAGAAACGTGTGGAATCGCTCACAGCCTCGGCAGCCCCTGTGAAAGGCTCCATCTCCAGGTATGGGGGCGCCGCGCTGGTGCACAGCAAGCTCACATTGAGAACCTGGTCCGAAGGACATCACCGCCGTCTCGGAAAGGGACCCCTTCAACAGGTTGACGTGTCACTTTGAGGCAAACCAATCTGGGCGATGGCTTCAGCTTGGCGAGTATGTGTGTGTGTGTGGGTGGGCATGAAGTGGTGTGAGTGGTGTTTGAGTTGATGCTTGATGTTGGTGTGGGTGGGTGTGGGTGTGGATTTGAGATATTTGAGGCTGGGTGTGGCGCGGATGTGGGAGTAGGCGAGTGGGTGCGTGGGACTCCTTGCACGCGAAAAAAGCTTCTAGGTACGCTTCGGCATGCCACCATGTCTGTGTGCCCCTACAAGAAACCCGCAAGCCGCTCCACATGCACCTTCGATGTGATCTTTTCAGGTGGTCTTGGTAACATAGATGGGCACCCTCAGCACCCTGAGCTTCTAGCCAAGCAACAGTTCCGAATTCCAAGGCATCTGCTTGCACAGAGCTCCATGGGTCAAGGCCGCTGTTCCTCGGGTATCGAAACAGCAGCGCAGCCACGCCACAAGCTGGCCACCCCTACGTTTACGGAAATTGGCTGCCAGTAAGAGCCTCGGCTCGTCCAAGGCTCGATTGCAGGACTGCCTGGCCCGCAAACGTGCCTCGGCTGGGTGCACCGTGTTGCTCTTGGAGCTGCTTCTGAAAATCATCAACTCATCCTTGGGGACTTGGAGGTGGTCTTGGCAAATTATGCAAAACGCACCGGCCTGAACGGGATTCCAAGAAGGGGCGCTGTCATTCTGCAACTGCGATTTCTTCTCCAATCAGCCACTGGCAGCATGACAAAATAAAACGATTTGTTCCAGCCAAAGCCCCAACACACGGAGGGATTATGAACTCGAGAACTGGGCCAAAGGAGAAAGGGCAGCTTTCTGCATGCGTCAGGAAAGGACGGCACCACACTTCTGGAGCCTCCTTTGTCACAGAGTTCCTTGCTTCAAGTTGGCGCGACCGCCGACGCCACCGCCAGGCGGATGCTCTGCAGCTCGCTCTGGGCCCTCGGGCCGGTCGCGTTGGGCGCGCATCCGATCCGCAGCTGCGCAGAGCGCCCTGGAGCGACCGTCACGTTCTCGGCCCCGTGGTTGAGGAAGGGGAAGGCCAGGTGCTTCACCCGCAGGCGGCCCGTGCCGTTGCCTCACGTCTGAGCTGGAAAGGAAGGGCCCTGCGCAAATAGGACACGACCACGGCAAGCATAGGTGCCCTTTTTGGGAAAATAGACGGCCCTGGTTGATATCAACCAAAAAGGACACCTATGACTGTAAAATGTGATTCTTTTCCCGAGCTGGTTCTGATGGATGCGCTTTACAAGGGCCCAGCCATATACTGGCGACCGCTTTGCTGACAGGCCCGCGTGAAACCGAGGGGCCGAGGTTTGTGACGTTCAAGGAGAGGTCCACTGTGGCATTCACGGGCACCTGGCAGTCATGAAACACTTCCGTCAGTTTCGGCAGCTCAGCTAGACCAAGCCATGTCTGGGCCCTGCCCCTCCGCAATCAATGGAGCAGGCTGGCATGGATTACAACACAACCATGTTTCCCCAATCAACGAGCCTGTCACACTGGCTCTGTTGATGGTCTGGGGCATGCGCACGCAGCAGCATCACTCTCTCAGCGCAATTCCCCGGCAGCAACCGACTGTACCCTTGAAATCCGAAACTCCAAACTCTAAGCCATACACCTCCTATACAGTTGGTGCACGTAACATTGGACACGGCTTCCCAGTTTGAGAGAGCATCGGGTACACCTTCAAGGTATGCGGGTAAGTGTCGTAAAGCCTTCGGTTGCCTGAAAAACTGAACTTACTGTTACTTGCCCTTGGTAGACAACATGTTTGGCAAGTAGCGCCCCTAGGTCATACGAACGCATGTGCTGGGTGCAGAATTGCATGGAGACAATGGCACACTGATAAAAGGGCACATGGCTCAAGATCGAGATCGCTCGAAGTAAGCCTGTGCACCTAGCCCTGGATGCCTGCGGCCACTCCAAAAGCTCGGGCTGCTGCTGCAGTTCAGGCCAGCCCTGATAAGTGTAGACTACCTTGGCGCGCACTGAAAAAGCTGGTTGGAGAGGCCCCTGTGCTTGAGCTTGAGTGGGTACCCCTTCAATTCAGTTGACGCCCCCAAACAACCAGCAAAAGCTGCGGAACTGCCCGTGATCTGCCGTTGTTGGTGACTAGTTCACTTTCAAAACTCGAAGTATCCCAAACGCGACGTGTGGCATACTGCCTTCCTCTTGTTCGGCCAGGCTGCACCCGCAAAACATCCACTGGTAATTCAAGTCACTGGGTAAAACATCCCGGCGCGTGGACAATGGAACGTGCAGCTGCGCTAAATTTGCGCCACGCTCTGTCACCCCCGTCCCACGCCTGCCATGTGTTTTGTCATGCCTGGAGGAAAATAATCACACCGTGACAGGGGATTCAACAAAACACTGCGTTTTACGATACGAAATGAAGGTGTGAGTGGTGAAAAGTTACACCTTTTTTCGAAGAAAATTGCGTTTCGCCTGCGTTTTGAGCAGTGCCGACTGGCTCGTTTGATCCCGAGCTCCTTCGAAATGGGCGCTTTTCTTTCTCATATCTGATTCTGCATCTTGTTTGTAGTTAGCCACCCTATGGGCGAGTCATGCACAGACAGCGGACTGGGCGGCCCAGAATCGAGCAGCAAACGCGCATTGCCGTCTTCCATGTGTTCTGCTGGTTGCGGATGCTGCGGGGCGGGTGTGCTTATCATGGGCTGAGCATGTGTTCTGCTGGTTGCGGATGCTGCGGGGCGGGTGTGCTTATCATGGGCTGAGCATGTGTTCTGCTGGTTGCGGATGCTGCGGGGCGGGTGTGCTTATCATGGGCTGAGCATGTGTTCTGCTGGTTGCGGATGCTGCGGGGCGGGTGTGCTTATCATGGGCTGAGCATGTTTCTGCTGGTTGCGGATGCTGCGGGGCGGGTGTGCTTTCATGGGATGAGCATGTGTTCTGCTGGTTGCGGATTCTGCGGGCGCGTGTGCTTATCATGGGCTGAGGGCATGTTTTATGCGGGTTGCGGATGCTGCGGGGCGGGTGTGCTTTTCAGTTGCTGAGCATGTGTTCTGCTGTGTTGGCGGATGCTGCGGGGGCGGGTGTGGCTTATCATACGGTGCCGGTATGTGTTCTGCTGGCTGCGCGATGCTGCGGGGGCGGGTTGTGCTTATCATGGTCTGAGCATGTGTTCAGTGCTGAGTTGGATGACGCGCGGGGACGGGTGTGCTTATCATAGGCTGAGGCATTGTTCTGGCTGGTTGCGGATGCTGCGGGGCGGGTGTGCTTATCATGGGCTGAGCATGTGTTCTGCTGGTTGCGGATGCTGCGGGGCGGGTGTGCTTATCATGGGCTGAGCATGTTTTCTGCTGGCTGCGGATGCTGCGGGGCGGGTGTGCTTATCATGGGCTGAGCATGTCTGCTGGTTGCAGATGCTGCGGGGCGGGTGTGCTTATTATGGGCTGAGCATGTGTTCTGCTGGTTGCGGATGCTGCGGGGCGGGTGTGCTTATCATGGGCTGAGCATGTGTTCTGCTGGTTGCGGATGCTGCGGGGCGGGTGTGCTTATCATGGGCCGGTATGTGTTCTGCTGGTTGCGGATGCTGCGGGGCGGGTGTGCTTATCATGGGCCGGTATGATGAACGTCGAGGTTTTTTGCCGATGGCAGTATCGACACGTACGGTTTTCCACGTGTAGGCTAAAACATCACTTTAAGCTACTGAAGGTGGCACACCCGGCATCATGACTGACCCCAGAATTCCATGACGGACACATGCCCGATTTGACACCGAAACAGATAGAAACTGAAAGAAACCTGAAAAGAAAACCCCAAAAAAGATGTGAACTCTCAACAAATCCCAAAGCACGGGTTTGCCCGTGGTGCTGGGACGTTCTCCGTGCCGTTGGCCCACGCCACGTGCACCGAGGCTTCGTGGCTCCCGTGCGCCGCGCTCTCGGCGCCCACCCGGAGCCACACCGACAGCGAGCCGTTCGCCGGGATCGTCGCCTGGGGCGGCGCGGCGCCACGCGTGGGCGCAAGACAAGCTGCAGCTAGAAAAAGGATGTGGATGGACCGATGGATGTGACTGCCGAGGCTCTCACAATGGGTTCCTAGGAAGGAAGCCAAAGACTTGGGTGCCCAAGCTTTAAGACCTTTAAGCGTATTCTCACAAGATTCAGCGGGTGCTATTCCAACCCCACGGCTACCCCTTTTTCCAAAGACACGGGGAGTTTCCCTCAGACTGCCGCATGTTCTGTCAGGCCTGCTGCGGGAGGCCCTTTAACGGCATCTAACAGTGAAGGGAGAGGGGCAAGGATCAGACCGGAAAGGGAGAGGGGCAAGGATCAGACCGGAAGGCTGCCGTTCTGTGGCTCCCGTGTCAACCTATCAAAGCTAAAACTCATCGCCTACTGCAGTGCCAGAAGCACCCAGCAGTAGCTGCGTCCATGCACATACCGACCACAACCAACCTGCACCAAAGAGGTTCCTGCCTGAAGTAGGTTGCTTTCTGTTGGATTTCCCGTCCGAAGCACACATCTCAACCAATTTGGTCAACCCCAGAAGTTGTTGCAACCAGCTCACCACCATCACCTGCACATGCATCGAGTTGCTGACATCTGCGCTGCGTGCTGGCCACTAACCTCCAGCCAAAACAAATAATGGGACTCGGCTTGCAGCACCAGGTTGCGCACGTCCAGCCGTCCTGGCTGGAATTGCTCTCACTGGCTTGGCACCGCTCGCGCTACCGAGCGACTCGCCCCGCCTGCACCGCCCACCTTGCCCTCAAGAGCTGGTACCGACCTTGCGGAGTCTATCAGCAGGCGCCTGCAGGGCCGCTGGGAACTTCAGCTACACTTGCTTTCACTTGCTTCAGCTACGACACAATCGGTGAAGCCGAATACGACAATTGTCGCTAAGAAAGGCCTTGCTACCAAGACACAAGCATGAGGTATGTCTTGCAATGGGGGAGGCGAGCCTTGTGCAACATTGCAAAGGAAACGGGATATCAATTGTTAAGTGGTCACGAAGCCCGAACTGAACTCTAGCTGGCTTGCTAACATGCCTCTTCAAACAGAGTTTCCCACAAAGGGGACATTCAGATCCCGCCCAAGAGGCCCTTTCACCCTTTCATCAGTCCTCCGACTTGACAGAGGTCAAGAAACCCGCGGATCCGAGGACCCGAGCGGACGGCACCCCGAGCCCATCGCCTCAGGACAGCTCCGTCCAGGTCGAAGGAGCTGGCCGCCAGCGCTGCGGCGCCGCTCACGAAGGGCACGGCCATCGAGGTGCCGAACTGGGACTTGTAGCCCGACCTCCACAACACGTCAAGCCGTGTGCGACCTCCCCAACAGTGGATACGCACACGAGACTGAAAGCTTCGCTACGGCGCACCCGTGTCGTCCGGTGAGGGGTTTCCTGCAATCAAAACGCTGAGGGAAAACGAGAGTCAACTTGCTGCACCCTCCCACATTGTTGCAGACCGGCCAGAAGCCCCGGGCCGCTTGACAAGCTTGCCAGAATGCACTTCCAACCTTGACGTGGCTGGCCGCTGAGAGCGAGGCTCGAGGAATGTGCTGATGATGTCAACTCCGGGTGCTGCAATTTCCACCTTCGAGCTCTCTCTCTCTCTCTCTCTCTCTCTCTCTCTCTTTCTCTCTCTTTCTCTCTCTTTTTCTCTCTTTCTCTCTCTCTCTCTCCCCTCCCTCCCTCTGCTGTTCAAGTGTTAGCTGAGGCTTTGCATGGCACGGACATCGCTTCTGGAAAAGTTGCGCCCCTTTCCGGGGCAACCGCTTCTGGAGAAAAGTCCGCCAACGAATCATAATGAAGCAAAGCATTCATGTAAACTGCCATCTGAACCTCTTTCGCAGACGGGGCACATACTCGGTGGCATAGTTGGAAAATGAAGCCAGCTGGTCAGTCTGCGTAGTCGCAGCCACGCACAAGGCCTCACTGCACGCAAAGCCTCTAGCGGTTTTGAAGAGGACGCACCGCTCACGTTGAGATTCGGATCTTGCTTGTGTCGATGGGCCGGCACTGTTAATCTGGGTTGCCCATCGATGGCACGTCGCAGTTGCCAAGCTACCGCAGCCAAGTTGCGCCGACTTTCTGATAGGCACAAGGGAAATAGGAACCTTAGCTCAGCTCAGACGAAGGTGCCAAACAGCATTGCATTACTAAAAGGACCATGAAATCCCGAAGTCTTCTGACAAACCGATGTGTGGGTTGCTCATTGTTAACTTTTGTGTGTAACGCCCAAGTAAGCCCATTCTCATCACCGAGCGTCCGTCACCCACGTCGCTCCTGATGGGAAGAAGCATACAAAGACGGTTCGCCCCCAGCCGACATGTTGTTGCGAGGGCACTTGCCATGCACAATGTGAGGGCAATCAGCAAGCATGCAAGCGCTGTCCCGCCGTTGCCAGCCGCTGTCACAAAGAGATGACCGACCTGCGGCGGCATGGGTGCTGGACATTGTTACCCATATTTACTCGTGTTACCTCTACCCCTACATGTCAAGCCCATGTTGGAGGCTCGCATTCACACCAAAAAAATCACATTGCACTGTGCTGACCGGCAACACGCCAATTCAATGAAACCCTTGTCGGCATCCTTCAACCACTGGTCACAACCCCCCACTGCTTGGCTCGACATGTGCCTCCCCGGCGCGCTGCACTACCGCCCGCAACGCGTCAGAGGTTTCAGGCCCGCCCCAGCCTCAGATGCACCCCTTGCCGACCCAATGAACGCCCACAGTGCGGAAAAAGTGGGTGCAAACCCCACTGAAAGCAGCTTCGCTACTGCATGAACACACTCTTGCTGAACACTCAAAAAGATCAGGTGTTGTGCCATGCTTTGGTTCGGGAATCACCTGCTTTTGCAGCATCAGGCTTTTCTTCCAGTGTCGCCTGTGGTTCTTCCGTGCCCGGGAGCCACAGCAAGCCTGAGCCTCGCCAGCCACCGATACACCAAGAAGCTATTGGACGAGATCCGCACCCCGAAGGACAAAGCATACTCGAGCCTAGGACAGCGCAGCCGAGAACCAAACTCACATCATGGAAAGACCGCAGGATGGACCCTGAAATGCAGGTGGCGGAAGTGATCACTGCACAAAGCGCTTAAGAACTCACAGCGAAACAGGCGAAGCATGTGCGTTGAATATCGTTGAATTGCGATCCCTGCCAAGAAAGGACCCAACAGTATTCAAGAGACCCCAGCAAAAAAAAAAAAAAAAGGCCAATGTGGTCTTGCCTTCTGTAGCTTGTGAGCAAATCCAGAATCTGGAACGGCTCAACGGACGCGGTCACTCGACAAAAGATAAGGCGCCTGTTGGATTCCAGGCGTTCCCAGCCTCCCAGATCCAGCCCGAGTGGCGCCCTCATGGCATCCGAAGTGGACCCACCACTGCCGTCCGCCCCGAGGAAGCGCAGGGCCATGATGCGGACCTGCCCGTTGGCAACAATCTTCGATCGAATTCAAGCGAATTCAGCTGGGTTTGTCATGATGGTTGTATCTAAATGGTTGGGACTGCTGTTCAAGTGCTGCCGGGCAGGCAGAGAGCATGGCTACATGAGGGCGTGCTCACAATGCGGTTTCGCCATGCGCCTACGCCCAGCAGGCTGCAGGGCCCCCCCGCCATGGAATGGCAGAGCCCCATGCACAACTCTCCAGTCAAAGCTTCAAACTCTACGAGTACAGGCTTTCTTGGAAAAACGGTAAGAACCATGCAGGGTTGCCCGACATTCACATGCTCCGACAGTACCTGGAACTGCTGACATTCCTGTATGTCCCCGAGCCGGGCGCCCTCCCCACCCCCAGGCATGTCACAGCGCCTTTGCGAGCCGACTGGCCACCCCGGCCACGCCGATGCCATTGTTGGCGGTGGCCGCTAAGATGCCGGCCTCATCATCCCAACCCCCAACCCCAAGACCGACAAAACAAGGCTCACCCAATGCCCTCCGACTCCGTGGACGCCGAAACCTCAACGGCTGCTGGGCAGGGCTT